TTTTGGCTACGGTGAATGAAATTAAATTAAGCCATAAAACCTCAGCAGTAACGTTGCTCAAATTTTCCATTATGAAATCGTTTCATTAAACCGGAGGAAAAAAGTTGTTCTATATTTAATAACGTTTTACTCAATTGACTGGACTCACATGAAATGTCGCTTTAGGTCTTACATTTCTAGGTATGTTCCTTGTTTACACAATGTCATTTATTAACATTGGTTATGCAAACAGGGCACAACCTTTTTCTGCCACTACAAATTCATTTAAAACGACGTTCGTATCAATTTACAAACATTATTTTGCCGTGCACACGTTTGCACTTCAATAATGTTAAAACTGCTTGACAGGATACATACGGTACTATGGTCTTCTACATTTTTATACAATCCATTTAATTATTTTCCAACAAAGCAAAAAATGAACAGCAAACACAATAGCTTGTTTCACTGCTTGTGCCACTGCTCAAATTAACGTCAATTTAAATAATGGCAGCAGGGAAATGTATAAACAAGGCTGCTCAGCAGAGAGCTCTGTGCTCTGTGCAGTTTGGTTTCAGGATAATACCCATAGAAAAGGCTCCCAATGAGATGACAGTAAGAAATAGTCATTTGATTCTTTTTATTTTCAAGAATCACCAATCCTTTTTCCCACATTCCATTTTAGGGCTGTGGGAGTCTGGAACAAGCTACACAGCCATGTTCTTTAAGCTAAAACTCTTCTTTCAAGAAACAGCTGGATGGATCCAGCTTGGACCACTTAGCTAGATGAGCTGAATGGACTGTTCTCATTTGAACGCTTATTGAGTTATTTTGTTTTTACACTCTGGCCTTAACACCATGTTTTTTTGGGAGGAGAGCCAACTTCCTCCCACAGCACAAAGACATGCTGTCCAGGTAAATTGGTGTCTCTAAATTGCCCCCAGTACCCAGCAATGGACTAGTGTCCAGTCCAGTCTGCCCTGTACATGCTGCTGGGTGATTTGGGCTCACTGAGACATTGTGAGAGCAAAATAAGATAATGAAAATGGATGGAAAACAGGATATGCTAATTTCACACATTAAAAACGTGACATTCAACCCAGGACCTTAGAGCTGTGAAGCAACAGCACTACCCACCCAACTGCCCCATTTAAAAAATCTAATTTATTTTTATTATTATTTGTTTCCCATGATTCAAACTAGATGATATCCCTCTTTCACAACGTACGGCAGACATTTCAAAATTAATGTTTTTGAAAAAAGGCTGAAGTTGATGGGACACAACACATGCCACAACTCACAGAAGGCATACATCTGGAAGCTGGGATTCATGGGATAAGCAGCGTGTGCTCATGAAGGATACAGGAATTCAGTTATGACATAGGGAAAGAGCACAGTTCCACTATATTCTTGGGGTGCTTATTTTATATAGCAGGGTTTTGTAGTAAAATGTAAAAAAAATGTTATACACATCGAAAACTGTATTTGTTAAAAACGGTACCAGGTTATGGATATGCTGAGTCACTGGAACAAAGCAAGTTGTCATTTGTGTCACAGAAGTGAAGTTGGTCCGTTCAAAGTCTCTCCGGATTGTTCTAACTGTGCTATGCCAGTACAGTAACCCAATGAAACTCATTCTGATGGATTCGTCTTCTGTCTTCTTCCAGGGACACAGTGTGGAGTTGTGGTTCGACCTTTGTACCTTGAAGTGTGGGATCATGCTGTTGAACACCTGAGCAAAAGCCACTTCACTCAGATTGGTACTGTAAAATTCCCAGCTGCGTAAGACAGTTTCAAAAAGAGAAGAGGCCTTTCGGCCGATCTAGCCCATGTGGTTTTTAGTAGTTTGGTAATTATTGATGGCTACAGATGTCAACATTGTTATTAATTGTGTCTCAATCCAACCTTTCTTTTGGCCCCTTTGAACCTTCATCGGCCATGTAATCAAAAAACACCAGGCTGTGTAATTCTCACTTCCCTGCTCTCACAAATACTGATGGTGATCAGGTCTGGGTCTTTGGTCTTCAGTTTTGAGAAAAGACTTCTTGCAATCCCATGTGCTGGATTCGGGTCATGAAAGCTCAGAGACCGGCTACAAAACAGGTTACTTTCTGTTTTTGATGGAAATGTATTTCCATACATTTATTTATAGCAACATGCATATAACGTATGGTCAAATAAACTGAGCACCGTTTAGCTTAGAGTCAAAGTTTAAACCTCAAGAGAATACCATTATGAAGTTATGACAACAGGAGTGCAATGCCCTGGTAGAAGCATAGGAAGAAAGTGGTACAGCACGGACTCACTGTAGCCCCAGGCACTGCCACCTCTGTGTAGAATGAAGTCCGTAACGCATCACTATAATGAAGAAAAACAACCGAATGATTAAATAACCTACTATAGCCTACTAACATACAAAAAAAGGATTTACCATCACAAGACAAAATTCACTTTGAAACACCAAGTTGTAAGAACTAAATTAAGTATAAATTCTGTAGCTGAAGTACTGCATCTCTTCTGGTGCAGTTACAGTTGACCATGCTGGTCACTCACCAAGGCAGTTGTAAAGGCCTTGGCTAATCCATGCCACAGTGGTGATCACTGAAATAGCGCACAATTGGTGTGACAGCCTCGATAACCATTTTATCAATGGCTGCACCTATTGAGACCTGTCAAAAATCATGCCTTCCAAAATAATACCTTGCAGCAGAGAGCATTAATGTCTGCAGATGTACAGTAAGTCACTTTGGATAAGAGGGAGGATACAAGCCAAGTATTTAATAGGAATTTCCAGATTGCAAATTTAATGTGTGTGCCATGTGCTGAAATGATTTGGTATATTATGTGTGGGTTAAAAAAGAAGGGTAGCATTTTTAAAAGGCTAGCAGAGTATATGTAAATTGTAAGTTTGCATCTACAGCACCTCATATGCATCTGATCTGAATACATTTCCTGTATATTACCATTTGGCATGCTTTCCAACCACATTGTGTAAAAGTGTCTTACTGTTCTGTTAACACTTGATGTGCAAAAAAGTCAAGTAATGTTATCCAAAATTATTTTGACACAAGTAGCATTAGAAATAACTTTCCAATCCCATATTTTTAAATTACATCTGGCACGAAGAACAAATCTATGAACATATGTGCTCTAGAATCTTAGAAATTGGGATCCAATTTAAGTATAAAAAATGTTTTTAAAGAGGCAATTGCATTTAATTACATATTAGTATGTATATTTCATTAATATGTGTAGTTCGTAGCACTGTTTCTGTGCCCTTTGGAGGTTTAGAGTACGTGGCCTGGGTATACTGATTGTGGAAATTCAATTTAAATAGTTCCAATAATATTTCACAGTCTTTCCATCAGTTGGGGTCTAAGATTCAATAAAAATAACTTTATTCAGTTGTTGAAATTCTTAAATCTGCCATAAAGGATATTGTTTGAGAATATTATTAGAATCGGATATATTTGTATTGTATTGGACATATTTCTTTTTTGATCCATTGCAGCATCATTTTATTATTTTACTGAATAGAATTTAAGAATGCACAAGTGCTCTTACAGTGTTTGTAATGATATGGGTAGAGAAACTAGTTTCCTTGCAAAAGCAGAAACTAAGATCTTTATAACTGTGATTATCTTTGACAGTTTGTATTTTTCAATGTTAGTCTTTAACTAGAGTATTTATGATGCAATGCAGGAAAGTTTCATACACTTTATAATCAGCTCAGTCACATTTCTGTACTCGGCCACATCATTAGTGGTTAGATGGCAGAGTGAAGCTCTGGGCTGGCAGAGCTCCAAACAGGAAAAAGTCATTCAGGTTGGAAACATCATAAAAGACTAATGGCCATATTTACAAAGCATTTACTTCTGCACCATTAATCCAGGCTTTTATAAAATGAACGGGACACACATTCTACTGTCCACCTTCCACAAACTCCCTTGGGGGGTAAAAAAAGTGTCCAACACTCCTTCTGCCTGGTGATTGAAGGGCGATTCAAAAAGAAGTGTCTACGAAGACAAATCAAAGCGACTACTAAGTGCTCCGTGGACCCAAGTCGAAAAATATAAATTACCCATAAATAAACAAAATATATATTACTTAATCAATAATGCAGCAGTTCTTAAACGGATCCTTAATCATAGCCAAGCATGCCCAATAATTTCACAGCCCCTCAACCGAACCAATGATTAAACTTGCAGACATGCAGCTACTACGCAACGTGCAGAGGTGGCTGGATATACTGTAGCCCTTAAACACACCAAGCATGAGATCAGAGGTAATAAATGCTGCAGCTCATTCAGACAGCCCAGATGTTACTGTTCTGCAACAGGATTTTACAACTCGATCTTCCGGAGGACTTCCATCTGCCCGAAGCCCCCACTAGGATCTCATGTTAACAACACTTCCTAGGCTCACTAAACATTAGGCCACTTGGACATTTTTTCCTTTTACTGCAACACAGCGATGCGTTAAGGCTTTAAAGCAGATGAAAACCTCCTCAGCCCATCCCTCAGATGGACAATTAATGCCGATGTCCCGTATCTTTTTATTCCACACTTAATGAAACTTCTCATAAAGTGAGCACCAAAAGGGCAGGGGCATCACAAGTAAATATTGTAAAGGTCATACAGTAGCTCAGCTCTCAAACTCCTTGACCCCATTCATCCTCTACAAGGCTGATTCATATGGTGAGGCACCTTTACAGTAGGGTAATTACAACCAAGTTTCCATGAAGCACAAAATGAAATTGGAGCACGGGAGCCTGTTCCAGCTGTGTGGGTCTGTTTGAGAGGGGAGATGGTGGGGGCAGTATTGCTAATTAGCGATCCCCCTGTCAATCACAGAAATCAGCTCTCTTTGGAGTACCATGAAGTGGATCTAGGTTTTCATATTGGTTGATATGGTGTTGAAAAGTAGTATAGGCCCTCTCCCCACCTTTATACTTTGAAACCCCCCCGTGAACCTCACTATATTCACTCCCCCCTTGAAAATACCCTCGTGGCACAGAAAAGTAAACCAAACTGGCAGTTTATTTTTTTCCTAGAAAGGAAATACAAATCTTTGAAGGCATGAAAAAAAAAAAAACATCTGCACAACGGTGAATTAAAAGGAGAATAATGCTTTAATATCGGTTCTTTGGATTTTGTGGCCGTTATGATATATGCAATCCAATGTCAAGAAACACAGAAAATATATCGAAGCAGCTGGAAGGTTAAAGAGCTTATGAACAAGTTAAAAGTAGAAGCCAGGAGGTGGGTAACTTCTGTGAATAAGAGAAGCACGTGATTTATTAACGTTTATCTTGTATAATACAACTGTACGTTTCAACACCCAATTTCACTGCATCAATTCCAACAGAAGCAGCTGTAATTCAGACTGCAATATACTTGGCAACAAAAGAAACCAATTGGACTGTGTCCAATGGAAATTTTCCTCAAAGCTGTTGTCAAGTTAACCTGGTAACTTCTTCCTCATGAAAACATGTCATATACTAGTCACTACTTCAACCCCCATCCTGAGATGCATCCTCTGAAATCAGGTTTTAAATAAGGAGACTTCAGTGTTTGGTTTCTTGCTGATATTTATTACAATTTTTAAAATAATTTAGGACAGCATATGCCTAAGCACTAACAAAAAAAAGTGCAACAATCGCTTAGTTAAATTCTTTAAAAATCCAGATGTCTTCTACAACAATAACAGGTCCAACATCTATTTCATTATATATTCACAAACTATTTACACAAATGAGCCACTTTTGAAGCGGACGTGACATTGTTTAAAATGCGGCATTTGAGGCAAACAGGAAAAAGAGCAGCATTGTATATAAAAAATATCAAGAGCAAGTATATATAGTTTATACCTATTCACTGCGAGATTGTCTCCTATCTTACATAACATTCTAGTGCAACCACTCACACTGTACTAGTGTACCTTAGTAACAACCTATAAATACCTCACTGAGGAGATCTGCTTTCTCAGTTCACATACACATTTTGGATCGCAGTCCAAAATAATAAAAACATCTCGGAAGGCATCAAGAAAGATAACTCTTGCTTACCTGTTACATTTTTTTTTTCCAGGTGGAGATGTCCATTTATTAACTTTATCTATTTATATAAGAAAATAGATTCAGATTTAAGGTTCAGTGCATGAGTACTATATACACACACACACAACAGGAGAGGGTGGAAGGCGACATTAATGTAAAAAGGAAACTTTAGAAGGTGCCAGCAAGAGCATTGCACCTTGCCAAGAACAAACCCCCGTTTTTGTTGACAGAATTTTCTAAAATAAAAAAAAGCTAATTACATTCAGTAGCAAAAATTCCAATAAGGTGCTGATACTAGGAGTTAAACTTTGTGTGAAATACAGTGACTGACATCCATTCCCGCCTTCTCCAACAGAAGTGCATGTTCACTACTGCGGCCATCAAACATACCGGTACATTCTCACTGCTGATGAGGGGGGAACAAAAATACCGGGCCGAACAGCAATGAGATCTGACGATAATATAACTCTACAGTTACACTCTCCAGCGTGAGCGATGCGGCAACTGTAACCTTTGTGGAGCTACAAATAAAACCGGCTTCGTTTTTAATACGATGGTTATAATGAATAAACGGTATTCGAAATGCGTCACACGTCTTCTGCACATACACACACACACAAAAAAGAGAAAAATTCCCAACTCAAGATATTTCCTCGTTGGCGAAAGGTTTTATAAACCCCCCTACACACACACACAGGATGTACAGCAGTACAGTAGCGGGAATTAAGCGGCGTCGTTTTCAGACTTGAGGGACCCGGGGGACGGGCTCTGGCCGTCCAGGTGCTGTTCGTCCTCCGCGGGCGAAGGCAGGTCCGTCTCGGCCGCCGTGTCAAAGCCGGGGGACGGCACGGCGGGCGCACAGCCCTTGTCGAGCGACAGGGCCGCCGGCAGGCCGGGGAAAGCGCCGGCCGCCTGCGCGGGCACGCCCGGGTAGAGGAACGGGAAGGGCCCCGTGAGCGCCGCCGCCGCCGGATAAAAATACTTCTCCAGGTTGGATTTGTCCAGAAGGGGCACGTAGGACGCCGCCGCGGCCGCCGCGGCCGAGGGCGAAATGAAATAGAAAGGCATGCAGAAGGGCGCTTGCTGTCCGAAGGGAACGCCGCCGAGTCCCATCAGCGAGTTGAGCAGGGCCACGTCGGGTCTGCTGACGGGGTCGGGGTTAACCCCTGCGCCGCCGGCCGCGTCCAGCTTCACTTTTTTGGCCGCGGGATCGTCCCTGAACTCCTGCTTCACCCTGACGCTGCAGAGCCCCCGCGGCGTGCCGCCGTGAGGTTTCCCGTCGCATTTCTCGGCCTCCCCCCCGTACCCGCTGTCCGTGTCCGTGTCGTTTTCGTTTAACTCCCCATTGTGAGTCCTCTGGATCACCGGGACACAGTTCGCCTGGGCTTCCAGCCGGGGGCTGCCGGGGTCCCGGGAGGAGGTAGCACCCTTGCTGGCCGAGATCTGCTGGGACAGGAGCTGAGCGCCGGGCAGGAGCTGAGCAGAAACTTTGTTCAGGTGGATGATAAGCTGGGTGCATCTCTGCTCCCTGGGAGTCCAGTTCTCGAACCGGTTAAGGTACTGCAGGACCTCCTTGGCACAAGTTTGAAAGCCTGAATGGAAAGCGTCCAGATCCGTCTGAATGGAGGATTTCATAGATCGGTCCCCTATGGAAGAGAACACGGGGAACAGTCACAATTGAGAGCTATTCATTGCACTCTCCAGATTGGGAGATTCGTCGCCTCTTGCACAGTAGTTTGGATTTTTTACAGCCCAAGAAAAAATCTCTACATCGAGTTTTTCCCCCTCACCATGCAATCACGATTGTACAGTTCAAGAATACAATCCGTAGCGTTTAGAGCAACTGGTCCAGGTATAAACATGAGGCACGAGAACCCGTTCGCTTTTTTATTTTCGCAGTTTGATCCCCCAGCTCGCCGGTCGTTAGGCATGGTGAAACTTACCGCTCTGCAAGGCGACTATCTTCTGGTGCTGCTGCTCCGTGACGGCGGTTAACGCTTTTAAATGCTTCAAAGTCAATTCCAGGACGACAGCTTTCTCCAAGTGCCCGAGGGTCTTTTAAATGGACAGAAGAGAATAGTTCACGTCAGGGGACACGAGGGAAAACAAAAAAAGAGCGACAAAGCCATCCTTTTTTTTTTTAAATAAAAGATATCATTTAAGAAGTGTTGGCCAGTAAAATACTTGTCAATGTCAAGTAACTGGGGATGAAAATCGCAAAGCTAGGGCGAAGACGGTATGGGAGCTGCACCAACCTTACCGTCAGTTTAAGATGTTCGGGTAACAGATCTTTCAGCTGGGCGATACATTCGTTAATCCGATCACGCCTCTTCTTCTCTATCAATCTGTGCGGTAACTTGTAGGCTTCCTATTAGTCGAAAAGACATTTCACATTTCAAACCGGGGTGCATTGAATACTCCTGAAAGTACTGCTGTCAGATACGCAGCGCTCGTCTACAGAACAGATATAAAAGGCATTCACGGTACATTACAAATCACTGCATATAGTTAAGAAAATCCCCCCATGTATCGCATGCTTCAATGTCACTGAGAAGACGTACGTGTTGGACAAAACTTGCTTACCTTACTTTCCTCCCTTTTCATGCCTCTCTTGGATTTACACATGTAGAGGGACGAATATTCTACCCTGTGGGGGATCAGAAACAATTTTCACCGGTAAGATTACGCATGCATTTACGGTCTTTAATTCGTTCGGGCAGATAGTCACGATATTCATAAAAAAAAACCACACACACGCACCCAAAAAAATAAAATAAAATAAATAACAACAGTCCCAGCTAGCCAAGAAAGGAGAAAAAAAAACACACGAAACGTACCCAAGGAAATCTGCGTGATCCAGCAACTGTCGGTCTTGCAAACGAGCTATTCCGTCATCCATAACTTTTTTTTTCCCCCTCAACTGTCTGCTATTCCTAGACCTTAGAGTGCTGAGGGAGATCTCGCACAGAAGCTGTACATCCGGTAGCCCCACACTTTATGATGATCACCCGCTCGCGGAGCTGCCACTTTGCAAACACTTTTCTGCGCGAGCAGAGCGCACGCGCGTCGCCGCACGGACCCGCTCCCCGCTCACGTGCGGAATGCACCAGCCGGCGGCGCGCTCCTCTAACGAGAGGGCTAATTAGGTCTCTCGCTGCCCCGGACGGGTTTTGTGACACACACACACACAGATATAGGTAGCTCTCAGGAGGCCAGAAGGGCAATGTTGTCGAGAAGCAAAAGGAAAACAAACAAACAAGCGAGCGAGCGCGAGCACCACCACCAAATTATCCCCCAAAACGTTAAAAGTTGCTGAGAGCCGGTAAATGCCGAAGCGAAGTCCTCCCCCCCTCCTGTTCCATACGCGAACAGTCAAGTGATTGTGCACTCCAGACGAAGAGGACTGCGTTTTTCCCCCCGCGATGTTCGGCTTTTCTTTTGACATCGTAAGGACAAGCTACTCCTCCTTAACCCTTCGCTGACCGCTCGAGCCGGAGACGGCCGCCCGCGGGGAGCCCGGCGTGCCGCCGGTAGCCATGGCAACCCCCCGACGCAGGGAGGCCGGCCCGAGCGCCACACATGGCGAAGACGGGGAGGGCTGGTTTCCACAGGGGCCTCGGGGGGGGTTCCTCTGGCCAATCAACGGAGGCGCTGGTTTTAGTTTTACTTTCGCGGTTAAGAACAGGCGATGGAGCCGAGATGTCATCAGAATGCACGGGACGGTGCCGTGCAAGCGGCTCTCGCAAAATGCACATTTTAAAAAAACAACAACAACAGCATTTGAGAAGCACGGCTACGAGGAGAATCCATCTTTAAAGACGGGGGGGTGGAAGAGGTGGTGAGGGAAACGAGATGATCAAGATAACTTGTTCACGGATAGCTCCGATCCAGTTGAGCCCCCTCACTCGAATAATTAATATTAATAATAATTGCTTACACGTATAAAGCGCTTTTCTGGAGACTCCACTCAAAGCGCTTTACAGGTAATGGGGATCCCGTCCACCACCACCAATAGCGTTTTAACTACTGACAGCTGCTAGTGCGTCGTTATGGTGAGGGGTTCTGAACCGAAAATATTTCTGGCCACCTCATTTTGCGAGTTTAGCGTGGTTTTGCATTTGCAGGATCCTCACATCTTCGTGTCTCTCCGTGGTGTGGAAGGTGCGCAGCTGTCCTAATTGCGAAAGCGAATGGAAGGACCGTACACCCCCCCCAACACACACACACACACACGTGTCACGCGCTGACGGTCCCGCTGGGGGTCAGGTGCTTAGAGGGGACCTCAAGGCGCGCGCCCCCCTCGCCCCGGTCTGCGGAAGTGACGTCCCGGGCTGTCCGCGGGACTGGGTGTTGCGCCTCAGACAGCTGTAGATTTCAGAGGCAGGATGATGTATGCAAATAGAAATTGGAAAAGCCGAACGGAGCTCCCCCCTCAAAGTATACATACCCCGCTGCCCAGAACGAGCGAGGCAGGATTCCCACCGAACCATTTTTAAAAATGTTATTCTGTTCATGTGTAAACGAAAACGATTAGCCTTGGAAAGCTCACGGGTCTGGTATTTAAAGTTACATTTAAGGTATGTCGAAGGTGAAGCTTAGTACACCATATTTAAGTGCTACTATGTGATTGCAATTTTATGAATGCCTTTATTCTGCTGTAAGTGATGCAAACTATATGTTTTCTCTGCTGTTTCAAAGAGGATTATCAGCGTTCAGTTTCAGCCTTTGATTTTTCAACTTCATTTGCAGCATGGGAAACATGAGTGTTCAGTATGAAGATAAAGTGCACCAAGTCTCCGCAGTGCGATTAGGAGAGTCGATGGGTAATTCAGGCCAAGAAGGTTGAGCTGGGTAGAGCGTGTTTTTCTCCTGGCAATATTCTGGGAAAGCACTCGTCCGTGATTGGACAGTTAGTGATGTCGTCATAATGGTTGTGTTTATGACATCAGATGTCAGTAATTTCAATATATACAGTATAAAACGAATTCAGTGTGTTTAAGTCTAACGTATCTTTGATCACTGACGATCGCGAAAACAACATTATTAGTATTGAGGGACCAGTTCAGTAGAATTTAGTATTGGGGGGGGGGGAAAAACACCCAACTACACAATTCATATTATAATGCATATGGCATCTTTTAAAATTAGAAACATCTTTTGATTTGTTTTCATATTTCAGTGGTTTTGGTTTAAAGATTGAAATTGACTAAATCATATGCATTTGTTTTAAGGAATATTTGAGTTAAAGTATCCAATTTGATCTATTAATAAAAGAACAAGTACCTACGGTAGCTCATCAGTGCATGCTTGCTGTCTTTTATAATAATAATAATAAACTTTATTTTATATAGCACCTTTAAAGGTGGCTTCTCAAAGCACCTTACAGAACAGAATGACAACAACAATGAATAAGAATACACAAGATAAAACACAATTATAATATACAGAGGAGACTGTGGATGGTGGTACTAAGAAAAGCAGAGGGGTGAAGAATGGAACCAGTTCAGTAAAGGACTAGAGAAGAAGGTTTTGAGTCTGGATTTGAAGGAGTTTAGAGAAGGTGACTCTCTGATATCCTTGGGCAGAGAGTTCCAGAGCTTGGGGGCATAACAGGAGAAGGCCCTGTCTCCCATACAATGTAGATGGGCTTGGGGGACAGTAAGGAGAGCAGAATTAGAAGAGTGTAGGTTGTGAGGTGGGGAGTAGGGCGATATTAGTTCAAACAGGTACTGAGGTGCCAAGCCATGCAGAGCCTTATAGGTGAACATGAGGATGTTAAAGTCCACACGGAATTTGACAGGAAGCCAGTGCAAGGACTCCAGGATAGGAGTAATGTGATAACTTGCACTAGACCTGGTCAGGATTCTGGCTGCTGAATGTTGGACATACTGCAGTTTGTTCAAAGTAGATTTAGATACCCCAGCGAGTAGAGCATTACAGTAGTCAATTCGAGAGAACACAAATGTGTTGATCAGCTTTTCAGCCACAGTTAGTGATAGCAAAGGGTGTAGTCTAGCGATATTTCTGAGGTGAAAAAAATATGTTTTGACAATATGCTGCACATGTGGGTCGAATGTTCAGCCAGAATCGAATATAAAAAGGTTTTAGTGTTAATATTTATTTTAAGCACTTGTCCTATTTTTCTTAACTTGTAAATAACCATGGATATGTTCTCTGAAATAAACCATAGCTACACTAGATTTGCACATTGACTATCCAGTGTCAAAATACTCATATTATTGCATTGCAAATGAATGTAATTTATGTTACTCGTACTCTAGACAACAGTTGTAATGGATAACGACAGTAACTTGTTCATTTGCAACTTAATTTGTTCAATTGTTCAATACGATAATTTAAAATTGTGTTTACTAGTGGTACTAGATCATGCTGGAAGGATTTCCTGATGTCTGCAATTTCTTGAAACTCTCGATGTACAAGTATTTCTAAATAGGAGAGCAAATGTTTCACATGCCAGTTTGTACCTTGCTGTAGATTAATCAGGAACTTCAGCCATCTGAAGAGTAAATGTAAGAGCAATAGTTCTTTTAGTTAAGTAGAATGTCTCCTCATTGCTATTGGATTTTTGGGCAAGCATCCTAAAGTCTCTTCCAAATAATTTTCAAGTAGTTCTTCACCATGAGACTTGCAGGTTTCAGAATTTTTTTTTTTACTGCTCTCTCTTTGCTTGGTAGGAGATGAATCCCAAATACCTTGTTAAATTACCTGAGATCTGGCAGAATGCCTAGCAACATAAAAGAAAGAGCCGTGAGCCCCGAGGTGTGTTTCTTGGCCAGACAGTAAATTGCATTTTCAGGGCTGGTGGTGTCAGCAGGCGCGTCGAGTGCGTGTTAGAGCAGTTTTTTTTTCCCTCTTCCCGATTTCAGACTCGCAGCCTTGTGAGCCTCTGCTGACAAGCACACCAGTTCAGCGGCGGGGGCGAACGTGCTGTGGCCACGTTTGCTGCAGCTGGCACCTCCGATATTACTGTAATCCTGTTTTTCGAGCCGGCAAAGCCACCGGGCTTTCAACGTGATCTGCTCTCTCACGCCGGAGAAACGAAAGCCCTGTCACTCTAGTGAGTAAATATTAACAACGCTTATCTGATCACGTCGTGAACTTTCATTAATCCTGCCAGTTACTCCATGGAAGTTAGATCAGATAGAAAGCTAAAAGCTACCCGGAAATGACTTTTCTCATTTTAGGCCAACAAGCCTGTCAAAATAATATCCCCTCCTAGTGTTGTACTGTTGCCAGCTAAACTCTGTGGCCGTATTTGTTGATTTTGGCATCGCTAACACACATGCCTTCTATTTAAGGCTATGTTATTAATTCATTGAGCACCTATCCTAGTTAGAAGTGTACTGGATCCCGCTGAGTTTTAGATCTGTTTTTTGTTCTACAATCAATGGGCACATTATATTATGAAGGATGAAGAAAGGGGTTTTTAAAGATTCATTTTTGCAGAAGCCTTCGACAATCATTCCATTACCAATCTTTTTGCAACTTCCAAACATTCCTGTAAAGCTTTCTTTAATCTTTAAAAAAAACCCAAGAGTTTAATAGATCAGTGGAATTCATTGTTTTGTTTTGCTACAAAGTGTGAAGTTACATATGCTGTAGGAAGCAAGGCTAAATATTTTAAGCATCACTGATCTGTTTTTTTTTGTTCCCCTTTCATTCATTCTACTGTATTCACATTTTCTAACCACAAAGCCGATTCTGAAATGAATGGATGAGTACTCAATTCTACTCAATTTCTTATGTTGGAGATTCTAATTTGAAGATGCCGTTTGTAATGCAGACAGTAATTAATCATTCTAGTCAAATAGTATGGCTTCCGCTTCTAACCAGGGTGCTGGAAATTAATCAGGTACTTCATAGGATGCTGCCTTTCAAAAACCATTTTTTTTTCGTGTGACTAACTTTAAGGCTATTGTTAAATAATATAGATATACATTTTAAAGACGCTTGAGGTTTTGTAAATATTTCTGTATGCAATTTTACATTCAAAATAAGAACCACATAAAACTGACAATACAGTATGCTTCATCTCACTGCAGGCTGAATTAAGTTTTTGTGATGTAAGAAAATAGAGAAATTCCTTGTTTTTCACTGAACTGTTAAACTGTAGTATCAAAGGCTTCCAGGGTCATCACAGTTTAACATTTTGCACTTTACTGTTATTGACAATTGTTTTATGAACTGTTAAGGCATCCTTTGTTGATGTTGCTGAAGCGATTGTTTAATGTCGTTAGACAAGACCTCATGGTTGTTTTATAGCTGGACTAATGTGTTGTAGTTCAAGTAGTGTATAAAAGTGAATGTAAACTGTCGCCAGGAATATATTTATAGTGACTTGATGTGTCTGTGTTTTGTGAACACTAACATTCATTGTCACTT